GGTATGTAGGTGGGCAGCAGCCATGGCAAAGGGCAATACTACCCAGCCCTGAGGCAGCTGGGTCCACGCACTGACTACATGCAGAGGAAGAGATGGCCAGAGTAGAGATCATGCTACTGCTCTGCACTTTGGTGTTTCCAATCAGCCCTGCCTCTTTGAAAGAGAGGGCAGAGGTGTGACACAATGTTCTCAGCTTGGTGCTTACCAAGATGCCACTACAGCACCTGCACCCTATGCCCATTCATGTCTCAGTATCCGGCCTGCCTGTGGGCACAGAAGTGCAGCACAGGTCCTTGCAAAGTCCTCTGGAGAAGACTTCAGCCTGGCAGCTGAGGACACTGGCATGAGCTAGTAGGCTGTGCAAGGTCCAGCGTAGGCAGGTGAGTGGGAACCCCTGCTTGGAAAGAGTTTCAGCAGTCCTGGCTAGCTAGGGATCATCAAGCACTGCAGTCTTGTGAAGTGCTGTGTAACTCGCTCAGCACCTGAGTGAGCGGCAGCACAGCAGAATGTGGCTACAGTCTCTCTCTCCTCCCAACCCCAATTCCAGCATGGCCTTGACAATTTCTTTCAGGTCTTGCGTCATTTTCCTTTGACACTGAAAATGCACCCACCAGGAGTTTGCACTCTGCTGCTGAGGCCATCATGACCAGACTAGCAACTGAATCCCTTCTGCAGCTGCACCCTGAACTCTGTGTGCTGCTGTGGAGCTGGCTGTAAAGGAATTGTAGGTGGTTGGCAGGGGGGAGGTCATGACCCTTCCCAGGTGCCAGGTCAGTGGGAAGGGATATTGTTCCTCTCCTGCCCATGTGCAGTCAGAGCCAATTTCTCCCCACCAGGGTATAGGTTCATTGCATTGCAGGATGCCTGCAGTGATGACACCCATGTTGCAGAGAACAATTTGCCTCAAAGCGTGTGCTCCTTTGAGCACTGACTCACACACCTGTGCACCCTGTGCACCCTTGTTTCAGGGTGGGCACATGCGGTGCCAGCCATGTCCCCAGACCTTGGCCAGGCACTCCTGACCAAGGCCAGGAGTATGGTGAGCTGCTCCCTAAAGACAACCCGCAGCAGCACGGATTCCCCCACAGGGCAGCACAGCACAGTGCAGCGTTCCTCTGCCTTGCCTCAGTCTCCTCGTACAGGGGTCAGAGGGCCCATATCAGTCCCTGCTGCACACCAGCTTTGGAAAAAAAAGCCCGGTGTGCCCTCCTGCGGAACAGCTCTGTGAGCCACTAACAGATCAGCTAAGCATCCAAGCAAGTCCTGGAGAGGCTGACTAATGAACAACAGTAGCACCAACACCATGTTGTGGCCCATGAGATCTTCATACAAGCCCATTGTTAGAGAATGCTATGAACTAGCTTTGTTGCACCGAAAACTTTTTCCTGAGAGGGGACTACTGAGTGAATAAATACAATCACTACTCCTTTCCTAGTTCTTTAAGAATCATTTCCCAGGTAAATGAGTGGGCAGGTCTGGGTAGAGAGAATTCCCTTGTAAATGATGAAACTGTCTTCATGAGGTCAAAATAAGTCTTGTTTGTATGTTTGTGTGTATATATGTATAAACACGTACATATAAATATATGTATAAGTAAATGCATGTCCACATATATACGTATCGCTATGTGTCTACCTTTTACTCTGTGTGTGCGTACAAGTCTCTGCATCTGGGTATCCACATAAGAGTTGTCCTCCCCCTCCCCAGTTCCTACTCCAGGACACAAGGCAACAGACAAAAGGTGGTACATGGGAAATTCCAGCTAGATAAAAGGAAAAAAAATACTGGGAAGGTGGTTAGACACTGGAACAGGGGCCTGAAAAGGTGGGATCGGCATCCTTGGAGATACTTGAAGTCAGCTGGACAAGTTCCTCAGCATCCTGATCTAACAGGACCAACTTAGAGCAGGCATTGGACCAGTGACCTCCTGACGTCCCTTCCCATCTGCATGCTCTGTCATGCCAGGGTCTGTCTTTACTGCCCAGTTTTTCATTGTTGCTCTCCTCCCGCCCACTCCAGTCTAAATGATGCAGCACCTATAGCTCCAGCTTGTGGGGCATGCTGCACCCTCTGCCCCAGCAGTTCTTCTATTTGGGGAGGTGGCGTAGCCACTTTGTGCAGTGTGGGCAGTGCCATTCACTGCATTCACTGGTGTGTTGCAGCGCTTTGCTCTGTGCTGTGCAGGAGACATCAGACTCATTGCAATGCACGAGGTTCACAGGGGAGCTCTGTTCTGCACAGCGCAAGGAGCACTATGCTATTCTGTAGCT